GAATTATCTGCTGTTAGGGTATTCAAGAGAATCTCTATGCCTACACAAGGTATTCATTATGTAAGTTTATTTATTTATTTATTTATTTATTTATTTATTTTATTTATTTATTTATTTTATTTATTTTATTTTATTTATTTATTTATTTATTTATTATGTAGTTTATTTATTTATTTATTCTCTTGCTTATTTATTACCTACACAAGGTATTCATTATGTAAGTTTATTTATTTATTTATTTATTTATTTATTTTATTTATTTATTTATTTATTTATTTATTTATTTTATTTAATTAATTATGTAGTTTATTTATTTATTTATTTATTTTCTTGCTTATTTATTACCTACACAAGGTATTCATTATGTAAGTTTATTTATTTATTTATTTATATATTTATTTTATTTATTTATTTAATTATTTTATTTATTTTATTTATTTTATTTATTTTATTTATTTTATTTATTTTATTTATTTTATTTATTTATTTATTATTTAATATCTTCCCCTTTAGCGACTTGTGCTATTGCTACTACTGTTACTGCTGCTGCTGCTGCTAATTTTGCTGCTGCTGCTGCTAATTTTGCTGCTGCTGCTGCTGTTGCTGCTGTTGCTGCTGCTGCAGGAACCTGGTGAGCTGCTGGCGGACTCAGAGGGCTCAACATCAACAGCCCCTTCGCCTGCTAAGGCCTTGGAGACAGAGGAGCAGCAGCAGCAACAGCAGCAGCAGCAGCAGCAGCAGCAGCAGCAGCAATTGCAGCAACAGCAGCAACTGCAGCAACCACCTCCTGAGCCTGTACCTGCATGGCATGCATTAGGACCACGCGTAAGCAAACTGCATGCATGCATGCATGCATGCATGCATGTATATTTATTCCCTTTATTGCTATATATATATACATGTAAATATATTAAATATATATATTATATATATTATATATTATATATGCATTATATATATAACTAAGTAAATAAATAAATAAATAATTTATTATTTCCCTTCTTATATATGCATGCATTCCTTCATAAAATGTACATATTAATATACACCTTTTATACCTTTATTTGTATGTATTTTTCTCCTTTTTTTTTCTTTTTTCTTTTCTTTTTTTTCCTTGTTATTTATATATTATTTATAGGGAAAAGAAATAGCAGCAGAGGTAAAGTTTATTGTAGATAATATAGAGGATACAAATATATTCAAGAAATGCGGAGGTAGAGGGTATGATACATATAAGTGTGATAATTATAAGTTTAATGTAGCAAATAAACAAAAAATAAATAAAAATAATAATTATTTACCTGTATTAGGTATAGGAAGAATTAATTTAGGTAAAGTTAATCTACAAAAATGTATTGATTACCTAATTAAGCCAGAAAATAAGATGGAATTTGATCCTTCTACGAGTAAAGGTAAATAAATTAATTAATTAATTAATTAATATAAACAAATATAATTCTTTTGTTTATTTAATTTATTATTCTTTATCTTATTTTATTCTATACATTTATACCTATTTATTAATGGGTTTATTCATGCAATTTATTATTATTCAGCTTTCTTGAGCTGCCTATACACCCGAAATAATTCATCTTTTCTTTTTTTTTATGAATATGTTTATTTATATATAAAAAAAGGAAATAAATCCTTTTTATTGAATAAAATATATTTATTTATGTTTTTTTTGTTTATTTATTCAGTATTTACTATAGAAACAGGAGAAGATTTCTCTATTGTTTATCAATCCTTTAAGGGTCAATGGGGATTTGCAGGAAGAGAGTTTGTTATTGCTTGTTGGAGTATACAAGTATATATAAACCCTAAACCCTAAACCCTAAACCCTAATTGTAAACCCTAAAAAAGTAGATAGGGGTGTTTTTTTTGTCTTTTTTTTCCCTTTTTTTTGTGTATATATAGATATAATAATTTAATTATATATATTATTAATACCTCTATTTATTTATTTATTTATTTATTTATTTATTTATTTATTTATTTATTTATTTATACAGGCAGACCTAAAGACAGCAGGTGTACCTGAATGGATAAATAGCCGAGTAAAGGCTGATCAATTAACAGTAGTAAAAAATATTAAACATTTTATTAATAAATTATAAATATATATATTTATTTATTTATTTATTTATTTATTTATTTATTTATTATATTTATTAATATAAGTATACTAAATAAATACAACTTTTTTTTATGTTTATTTATATATATTATATAGATATTATATATATAATGTGTATATATACGTATATATATATTACGTATATATATACATAATATATATTATATATACGTATATATATATTATATATACATTATGTATATATATATTATATATTTATTTATATTATTTATTTATATTTATTTATATTTATTTATATATAATAAGATGAATATACACCTAAGAAGAAGTTATGTATTGATGCATGCGCTGCTGCCTTATTAGCGCATTATCTACATACATGTTTATCCTTGCCTTTCTTTTTGCTGCTGCTGCTGCTGCAGTTGCTGCTGCTGCTGCTGCAGCAGCAACAGTAGCAGCAGCAGCAGCAGCAGACAAAGAGGCCCTTATTTGCATGCATTTATTTCCTCCCCTTGCTCATTTTTCTGTTTGTGGGGTATGAATATGCATGCATACACCCCAAAGCGCGTGCAGCAGCAGCAGCAGCAGCAGCAGCAGCAGCACTAGCAGATGCTGCTGCATGCAGCTGTTGCTGCTGCTTCTGCTGCTGCTGCATGCAGCTGCAAGGGGAATCCTTTAGCTGCCTCTTGCGCTGTCTCGGCAGCTCCGAGCAGCAATTGAGGTGTACAGACACCTCAACTCTTCTTTATTAATCTTAATAGAGGCAAATATAAATAATAAATAAATAAATAAATAAATAAATAAATAATATTTATATTAATAATTATAATTATTATTAGTAGTTAGGAAACATATACAATAACAGCAGCAAACGGGTAGCAGCACTTGCTGCTGCAGCATTTGCTGCTGCTAAACTTGCTGCTTTAGAACTTGCTGCTGCAGTTGCTGCTGCAGTAGTTGCTGCTGCAGTAGTTGCTGCTGCAGTATTTGCTGCTGCAGTAGTTGCTGCTGCAGCAGAGGGTAATGCATGCATGCATGCATGCATGCATTGCGTGTCTATTGTAATGGATAATTAGATTTAAACATATTAAGGACACACAAGGAATAATGCATGCATACATACGCCAATTTTTATACATTTTTTGCTACTATTTATCCTTTATTTACGAACATTTGCACAAATAAACATTAATAAAGTAAAAAGGGAATAAAAATATACTTAATTTCCTCTTATTTGCATGCAAATGCATGCAGATTAAGCTGCTGCTCCGTTGCTGTGTGCAACAGATAGACAACACATAAGCTGCTGCTCGCATAAAGGAGGGAAAAAGCAAGAAAAGTAAATTAAATAAATAATTAAATAAATAATTAATTAAATTAAACTAATTAAATATTTAATTTAAATATAAAATTATATTTATTATTCTGCATGCATTATATATTTAATGAATATCTTCCTTGTTCCTGCATGCCTCGATGCTGAATAAGTTGCATGCAAATTATGACGGCGGCACCACTGCATGCATGCATTAAAAATAAATTAAATTAAATTAAATTATAAATTAATTTAATTTAATTTAATTAGTTTAATTTAATTTAATTTATTTTCTTCTTTATTTCAATAATAAATACACTTTTTCTTAGATCAGCAATAGATATATATACAAAGGGGGGGAAGAGGTGACCTTGGGGGCCCCTCCTTTGGGTCTTTTTTATCTCTTCTTTGTTGTTTCTTCCCTAAATCTATTAAATTATTTATATTTATATTTATATTTTTATTTTATATCCCTTTTTTTCTTGTTTTGCACGCATGCAAAGGGATTTCTTAGAAGTCTTTCAGTGATCCCCTGCCTCCTGGAGCAGCAGCAGCAGCAGCAACAGCAGCAGCAGCAGCAGCCGCAGCTCCCTTGTGGCCTCCTGCCTTCGTTGTCTTTAAGAAGAAGTTTGGGGCTTTCTTTGCATGCAGTCCCGTGTATGCATGCATGCATTCATGCATGCATGCACACACAGCAGAGAGGATGGGGAGGGAGAGCATCGAGCTGCAGTTTTCTGTCCGCAGACCCTTCCTTCTAAGCAGCAGCAGCAGCAGCAGCAGCAGCGCATGCATGCAGCCGCAGCAGCAGCAGCAGCAATAGCAGCAGCGCATGCATGCATCTGCATGCAACAAAGCCCCAAAATATAATCTCTTCTTTGTGCTGCAGGTTAACAGCATAGCAGGCCTGCCTCCCGATACATCCGTGCGGCTGCAGCTCTCTGGTAATTGCTGCTGCTGCTGCTGCTGCTGCCGTATTTTGCTGCTCTTCTTGCTGCTCTTTCTGCTACAACTCTTGCTACCTTTGTTGCTGCTGTTGCTGTTGCTGCTGCTGCTGCTTGCTGTTGTTGTTGTTGTTACTGTTGTTATTATTGTTATTATTGTTGTTGTTCTTGTTGATCTTATTCTTCTTCTTTCCTGCTGCCGCTGCTGCTGCTGCTGCCGCTGCTGCTGCTGCTTTTGCTGCTGCATGCATGCATGCATGCATGCATGCAAATAATAGTATATATATTTAATTATATTTATAGGTAATGGTATTATTGGCGAATGTATTGATGTTGGTGTACTAAGAGAAGAAGAAATTAATTCATTAAAAAAAAACTTTATTATACAAATCAGTAAATAAATAAATAAATAAATAAATAAATAAATAAATAAATTAATTAATTAATTAATTAATTAATTAATGGATTAAATAAAGGAAATATTTCTTCTTTTGTTAGTAATAACATAAAACAAAGAAGTAGCAATAAACACCAACTAATGTTGCTGTTGTTGTTGTTGCTGCTGCTGTTTTTGCTGCTTCTGCTGCTGCTGCTGCTGGTGTTGCTGCTGCTGCTGCAGCACCGCAGACTCTGGATGCAATATGTCATGGGGTGTACGTACAGCTGGTGGATACACCGCAGACACAAAAGGAGAATCCTCTTGTCTTAGCTACATCTTATTTAGATCTAATTCCTCTCTTACATCAACAAAAAATAATAACAACTAAGTTGCTGCTGTCTCCTACTGCAGCAGCAGCAGCAGCAGCAGCAGCAAATGCAGCAGCACAAGAAGCACCTAACCCAGAACCGAAACAGCAGCAGCAGCAACAGCAGCAGGGACATGGATCGTCAAAAAAAGCAGCCAAGGAAGCAGCGGCAGCTCAAGCAGCAGCAGCAGCAGCTGCTGCTGCTGCTGCTGCTGCTGCTGCTGCTGCACCCCCTGTTATAATAGAAAAGGTTGAGCTGGAGATAACTGTTGCTGTTACAGCACTAATTGGAGCACCAGAAGATAGTCAAGATTGGAATGTATTTAGTCTCGAGGTAAACCCTTAAACCCTTAATTAGGGTTTAGGGTTTAGGGTTTAGGGTTTAGGGTTTAGGGTTTAGGGTTTAGGGGTTAGGGTTTATAGGTGTCTATATACTGCAGGTAGAAGGTGTTGAGGATTTGCCGGATTTCTTCCAGGGGTTTTCTGCAGACAGTGACTCCCATCCCTTCTCTTACTCGGTAACAAACCCTAAACCCTAAACCCTAAACCCTAAACCCTAAATCTTTTCCGACCAACGCTGTAGTCTTCACTGTAAATTTCTTTCTTTGCTGCTGTCTTCACTCTCCTGCTGCTGTTGCTGCATTTGCTGCTTTTGCTGCTGTTGCTGCTGTTGCTGCTCTTGCTGCACATCAAGCCAGTCAGTGTGTCTACTTTGCTGCACTTCCTGCTCTTGCTGCATCATGTGGTGCTACTGTGCTGCTGCTGTGCTGCTGCTGCTGCTGCTGCTGCTGCAGCTGCTGCTGCTCGAAGGTTGCTTCGATGGTGGCGCTTTACAATACCCTGAGAAGGGTTCTTCTCAAGCGCATGCACATGACGATAAAGCCCAAGGGGGCCCCCCTGGGGGCCCCCAGGGAGGCTCCCAGGGGCCCCCCCAGAAGGGTCGTAACAAAGGGAGCCCCTCTACGTCAGCGCCCCCTCCTGCTGCAGCAAGCGAACCCCCTCCCCCTCCTGCTGCAGCAGCAGCACCTGAGGGAGAGAGCCAAGTTGCTGCTGCTGCTGCTGCTGCTAAGCCATCAATAAGATGGATAAATCAGAAGAAAGAAGGAGGAGGGTTTAGGGTTTACAGAGGACGAGGGTTTATGAATTGTTTTATAGATGCCCTTGATTCAGCAGGAGGGGTTTATGTTTATTTATTACCTAAACAAAAACAAAAAATAAATGAAGAAAAAAACAACAAAACATCTAAGGCACCAGCAGGAAAAGGGAAAGCTGCTGCACAAAAACAAGGTCCTAAACCCTAAACCCCAAACCCTAAACCCTAAACCCTAAACGCTAAGCCCTAGAGCAGTACCCAAGTCTTCGTGTTGGAAGCATAGCAGTCGTCAATTTAGATAACACAGTTCAGACACGGAATACCAGGGTTTAGGGTTTAGTGTTTAGGGTTTAGGGTTTAGGGTTTAGGGTTTAGGGTTTGTGTGCAGAAGCAGCTGCGCCTACTACTTCTTGGCGTCAGTTAGCAGCAAAGGCATGGATACCTCTTGATGCATTAAGAAGAGGAGAGCAGCAAACAGAGACAATGGTGCTTCCTTTGTTTGCTATGTATGCTGATGCTGCTGCTGCTGCTGCTGCTCCTGATACTCCACCTCCGCAGCAGCAGCACCAACAGCAGCAGCAACACCAACAGCATCAGCAGCACCAGCAACATCAGCAACACCAGCAGCAGCAACAGCAGCAGCAACAGCAGCAACCGCAACAACAACAACAGCAACAGCAACAGCAACAGCAGCAAGCATACCCAGACCCGTTTGCTGCATCAGGGGCAGTCATCAAGCTCTCTGTTGCTCTCAACCATCGTAGGCCAAACCCTAAACCCTAAACCCTAAATAGAAGACCCTAATCCTCAATCAGCAAACCCTAGTTTGCTGCATCCTTCTCTCCTAGGCCATTGAATCTCCCCCGCAGACCGTAAACCCTTGTCTTCTCTCCCTAGGCTGTAAACCCTTGCCTTCATCCCCTAAACCCTAAACCCTAAACCCTCGTCTTGCGTAAACCCCCTGAATGTTTCGCTCAGCCCTACGGCCGCTCTTCCCAGATATCCCCTTGACGCTGCGCCTCTTCCCTGCAGCAGAAGAAGCACCTGCTGCAGCAGCAGCTGCTGCTGCTGAGCAGCCTAAGGCTGAACCAGCACCAGCAGCAACAACAGCAGCAGCAGCAGCAGCAGCACAGAGCGGTTCGAGCTGGCGATACCATCTGCTGCAGCACACAGCAGCAGATGTGTCTGCTGTTGCTGCTAAAAGTCTTTCCCTTGTCAGTTCTTCTCTACGCAGAGTGTTACCTGCTGCTGCTGCTGCTGCTGCAGCAGACCCTGATGCTGCTGCTGCAGCAGCAGCAGAAGTAGGACTGCAGCAACTGGCTCACCAGGTGTATGATGACCTTAAGGAAGAAGGACAACTAGCAGAGGTGGAGAGACACCTGAGGATGCTGCTGCGGTTGGCTATCCGTGATAGAGTTCGTGCTGATTCTCTTCTTGCTGCTGCTGTCCGCAGCAGCAGCAGGAAGAGCAGCAGCTGCACCGGCAGGAGCAGCAGCAGCGGGGAGCTAGCAGCAGCAATGCTGCAGCAGCAAAGACGCAAGACACTAGTACTAGCTGAATGTTTTGCTGCTCTCTCTGAGGCATTGGATACAGAAATTGCGCATGCTGTCAAGTAATACCATTGCTGCTGCTGCTGCTGCTGCTGCTGCTTTTGTTGTTGCTGCTGCTGCTGCAGTTGCTGCTTGGCTTGCTTGCTTGCTTGCTGCTCCTGATGTAGGGATAGGGACTATCGTTGCTTTCTCTATCTTTGCCGGTGCTGCTGTAGACGAACTGTACAACAAAGCGCTTTTGCTGCTGCGTCTGCTCCGTCTGCTGCTGCTACCGCTGCTGCTGCTGCTGCTGCTGTTACTGCTGCAGGTCGGCTGCAGCGCGAGCCGAGCGCACCCAACTCTTCCTCGCTCCAGAGGCTGAGGAGGACGAACCAGCAGCCCTCCAACCTGCTGCTGCTGCAGTGGCATTACCCGCAGCAACAGCAGCAACAGCAGCAACAGCAGCAACAGGGGCATTAGTAGCAAAAGCAGCGCAGCAGCCTGATGAAGTAGAAGCGGATGGGGCACAGACAACGGAAGCAACATCAGCACCAGCATCCGAACCAGCAACAGAAGCAGAAGCAGCAGCTGCAGCTGCAGCAGCAGCAGCAGCAGCAACAGCAGCAGCAGCAACACACTACAAAGAAGAGACAGAATACGAGCGCCTACGGCGTCTACGCTTCGAGGCAGAAATAGTTGGAGACATGGATGCTGCTATAGTATACCACAAGCAGCTGCTGCTGCTGCCACCATCAGCAGTAGCAGCAGCTGCAGCAGCAGCACCAGCAGCACCACCACCACCTACAGAACCTGAGCTGTACGTACAGCTCGCTGCGCTGCTGCTGCGAGCACATCAAGAAAATATTGAAGCAGCAGAGGCAGCAGTTAGGGAGGCTGTCTATAAATTTGGGGGGCTGCAGCAGGTAAGCAGCAGCAGCAGCAGTAGCGGGGGCAGCAGCAGCAGCAGAAAGAGCAGCAGCAACAGCTGTAGTATTACCAGCTGAAACTCTAATAAAATCTGCAGCAGCCGCAGCAACAGCAGCAAGAGCAGCAGTAGCAGAAACAGCAACAACAGGGCACTTTGCCACCTCCTTATACCTTGTTGCTTGTCTCTATACAGATAGCTGAGGGTTTAGGGTTTAGGGTTTAGGGTTTAGGGTTTGTGTGCTGCAGGCACCACTAGAGACTCTGTTATTTCTTGGGTGTATCCTTCTTGACTGCAACAAACCAAAAGATGCACAAGGTATTTTTTCTGTTGCTGTTAACCGTCAACTGCAGCAGCTGCAGCAGCTGCAGCAGCAGCGGCAGCAGCAGCTGCTGCTGCTGCAGGAAATAGAGCAGCAAGAGCAGCGAGAACAAGAGATACAACAACAGCAGCAAGAGACAACAGAATCACCAAGACAGCGCAAAAAAGAAGACGACCCTAATGGATCAGCAGCAGACCCTCCTGCTGCTGCAGCACCAGCAGCAACAGCAGCAACAGCAGCAGCAGCAGCAGCAGAAAATGAGCAACCAGACCCCCCTCTCTCTCTCTGTTTTTTCTGTCTTTGTTTGTCTTTTTTATTTAATGGAGACATGCAAAAGTTCGAGGCAGCAATTGCCTTGGCGCTGCAGCCTGCTGGTTTCTTTGTGCTGCAGCAGCAGCAGCAGCTGCAGCAGCAGCATCTGCAGCTGCAGCTGCAGCAATTGCAGCTGGGAATGAATGATACAACACCAGCAGCGGACACAAAGGGCGGGAATCAGCAACAACAGCAACAGCAGCAACAGCAGCAACAGCAACAGCAGCAGCAGCAGCAACAGCAGCAGCAGCAGCAGCAGCAAGACAACCAAAAGATATGGACTGAATGGACTTTACAAGCAATCAACAAGGAGGTATTCTTGCTGCTGCTGCTGCTGCTTCTTCTGCTGCTTCTGCTGCTGCTTCTGCTGCTGCTTCTTTCCCTGCTGCAGCTGCTGCTGCTCTACTTCCACGTTTGCTCTAAGCAGCAGCAGCAGCAACACCATCACACTCCTAGCAGCGGTAACCTCCGCAGCAGCAAGAGCAGCAGCAGCAACAGCAGCAACAACAAGCTTAGTGCATGCACCATATAAGACCATATACATATATGTACACCTGTATTATATAAAGTTATGCATGTGTTATATATACAACAAATAAATAAATAAGTAAATAAACAAATAAACAAATAAATAAATAAATAGATAAATAAATAAACAAACAAACAAATAAATAAATAAATATATATATAAATAAATAAAGGAAAAAATGTTATAAGGAATTAAATGCATGCATTGTTTGTGTTTATTTGTGGTGTATGTACACCTCAGTTCGCAAGTTTACCAGAAGATTGGCTGCTGCAGCAAGAAGAAGGTCCTGGCGGTTTGCTGCTGCTGCTGCTGCTGCTGCTGCTGAAGTGCAGCATGGGGCGTCTCTGCCTTCGTCTGCTGCAGGAACCTGCACTTGTTTCTGCTGATCTCTGTAGCAACAGCAGCAGCAGCTGCAGCAGCAGCCGTAGCAACAGCAGCAGCAACAACAACAGCAGCAGCAGCAAGCTCCTGCTACTCTTGCAGGCACAGGCTCTCATGTTGTGCCAAGGTGCGCAGAAACCCTAAACCCTAAACCCTAAACCCTAAACCCTAAACCCTATTTGTTTCTTTTCCGCCTCATGTAATAATTGCTGCTGCTGTGCTGCTGCTGCATTGCTGCTGCTGTGTTGCTGCTTGTGGTGTATATGCAGATTATGCGGAGGCATCTCTTGTGCTGCAGCAGCTGCTAGCAGCACAACCGCACAACTGTTTGTGTCTCTCCTTAGCAGCAGAAGCAGCAAATAGACAAGGAGACACTGCTGCTGCTCTCTCCTTGCTGCATGCTGCAGGAACCTGCACTTGTTTCTGCTGATCTCTGTAGCAACAGCAGCAGCAGCTGCAGCAGCAGCCGTAGCAACAGCAGCAGCAACAACAACAGCAGCAGCAGCAAGCTCCTGCTACTCTTGCAGGCACAGGCTCTCATGTTGTGCCAAGGTGCGCAGAAACCCTAAACCCTAAACCCTAAACCCTAAACCCTAAACCCTATTTGTTTCTTTTCCGCCTCATGTAATAATTGCTGCTGCTGTGCTGCTGCTGCATTGCTGCTGCTGTGTTGCTGCTTGTGGTGTATATGCAGATTATGCGGAGGCATCTCTTGTGCTGCAGCAGCTGCTAGCAGCACAACCGCACAACTGTTTGTGTCTCTCCTTAGCAGCAGAAGCAGCAAATAGACAAGGAGACACTGCTGCTGCTCTCTCCTTGCTGCAGCAAACCCTTAATGCTGCTCGTCCCTCTACGGATTGTGCTGTTTATATTCGTTGCGGACAGGCAGCCTTTAAGCTCAAGTAAACCCTAAACCCTAAACCCTAAACCCTAAACCCTAAACCCTAAACCCTAAACCCTAAACCCTAAACCCTAATCCGTAAACCCAGCAAAGTTCTCCAAACCCTAAATACCTTTCTAAGATGAGTAGACAGGATCTGTTATTCCTGTTACTGCTGTTACTACTGTTACTGCTGCTGCTGTTGCTCTTGCTGCTGCTGCTGCTGCTGCTGCTGCTGCTGGTGCTGCTGCTGCAGTCGTGGGTCAAAAGGATGCGAGTACTTTTTAAAGTCTTTGAATTTATGTGAGACCTCCGAGGGTTGGCTCGGCCTATCGGCGTGTCTGCTGCTGCTGTACCAGGAGCAGGAGGTAGAGCAGCACAAGCAGCAGCAGCAGCAGCAGCAGCAGCAATTAATGAAGGATAATTTGAATATAGATATATATCAACGTGATCAACAGAAGCAGCGTGAGCAGCAGCATAAGAAACAACAACAGCAATTATTGCAGCAAGCAGCAGCAGCAGCAGCAGCAGCAAATACATTAAACCCTCATAGAGCAGAACCATGGGGATTTCTTTCCTTATCCTCCTTATTACTTAATAAAGAAAGACAAGCAGCAATTTGCTGCCGATCTTTTATAAGAAGTAAATTAAGGGAAGAAAATATTCTTGCTAATCATAGTACTATATTATTTCATGATTTATTTTATCCTATACCTTCTGCTGCTGCTACACCTGATGCTGCTGCTGCTGCTGCTGCTGGTGATGCTGCTGCTGCAGCAGCACATACTGCAGCAACACTACATAGTGATTCACCTAGAGAAATTGCTGCTGCAGCAAGTGTTACTTGTAGATGGTATGGTGGTCTTACGTTACGATTAGCTGCTGCGTTGCTGCATCACCAACTGCAGCAGCAGCAGCAGCAGCAACTGCAGCAACAACAATACTGGATGAATCCTCTACAAACTGCACGAGAACTTGCACTCATGCAAACACCCAAAAATATCGGCAAGCAAACCCTAAACCCTAAACCCTAAACCCTAAACCCTAGACCGTCAATATCTAATAACTAGACATGTATAATATTGGATAATAACTGTTGAAAGATAATACGTTTCTCATAGGGTTTAAAAATTAGGGTTTAAAAATTAGGGTTTAGGGTTTAGGGTTTAGGGTTTAGGGTTTAGGGTTTGTGTACAGAGAGCCGTATGACGCAATCAACATTATTAGGTTTATTAGCAACAGAGGAAGGACAAATCATAGAGGCATTGCAACATTATGCTGCTTCTTTGTCTTATATGCGTGAGGCATTTGAGGAGGAGCAGCAGCAGCAGCAGCTGCTGCAGCAGCAAATGCAGCAGCAGCAACTACAGCAGCAACAACAGCATCATCAACATCATCAACACCAAGACCAGCAGGAACAGCAACAGCAGCAACAGCAACAGCAGCAGCAGCAGCAACAACAACAAGAGCAACAGTATCACGAACTACAGAATGTGCTGCTGCTGCTGCTGCTGCGGTCAGACTTTGTTGCTCGCCAAGCAGCAGCTTGCTGCTACAGGTCTCCGCGTATGACGGAGGAGACACAAGAAATAGAGGAAATAAAGGAGACAATTGCTGCTGCAGATAAGCAGCTAAGAAAGGATATAGAGCAGCAAATGCAGCAACTGCAGCAGCAGCAACTGCAGCACCAGCTCCTCATGGCACAGTTTGACCTACAGTAACAATACTACTAATTCGTGCAACATTTACTGCTGCAGCTGCTGCTGCTGCTGCAGTTGCTTCAGCTGCAGCAGCAGCAGCAGCAGCAGCAACTGCAGCAGCAACCTTTTCTTGTAACTATTTATCTATCTCTGCTGTCTCCTTTTTGTCTCCCTCTCCACTTATGCCTATCCTAAACCCTAAACCCTAAGCCCTAAGCCCTAAACCCTAAACCCTAAACCCTAAACCCTAAACCCTAAACCCTAACCCAAAGGCAGCAACGGCAGCAGCAGCAGCAACAGCAGCAGGCTGTCTGAGCTGCTGACAGTTGTGAGGAAGCAGCAGCAGCAAGAAGAGCAGCAAAAGGAAAAAAAAAGAATAAAAAGAAATTATAAAGAAATAAAAGTTTATATATTGCTGCGCTATATATATATTATATAT